TATATATATATATATATATATATATATATATATATATATATATATATATATATATATATATATATATATATATATATAAATACCTATATATATTTTATAATTGACAACTCCCTTGAAATATTGTATAAAAAATAACTCAAAAAATAAAGAGTTACATACATAGTAGAAGTTTTTATGACTAATACATTTATATTATATATGTTTATAAATAATTTTTTATTTAATAAAACAAAAATTTATAGAAAAGTAAATTAAAAGCTGTTAACTTTTTTAAAGATTGTTTAAAGACTTGTAAGGATGTTTTTTTTTTTTTCTAAGAATATTTAAGGTTTTTAAGGAGGATTGGGAACCCTAAACATATACGACAATAACTAAATGACTATATGCTGAAACTTTATTAGCAAACATTGTTGTAGTGGATTTGCAGTGTAGTGGAATTGCAGTGTTGTTGTAGTGGATTTGTAGTGAATTTGCAGTGGACCTATAAAGGCATTCTGAGCAGTTAAATGGAGTTCAACTCGTCGTTTACCTAGCCAATTACTTAATAAAATGGCTAGCCGATAACATTTCAACAAGTGATATAGTAGTTAATCGTGTTATCCAATTTAGGCTTCTGCCACTAATAGTCCATTAAGTATATGATGAACAAAACTGCAACCAACTACAATGCCTATACAAGCCCACTGAAATTCCTCTTTAAATGTTTGCTATATTATATATTTTTTTAATAAATGTTAAAACTAAAAACTATAAATTATGAAAAAATTCGTTTATATAGAAAAAATATCAACTCTTTTACATCTTTAAATACATTTTTCTCAATATAAATTGAAGTTAGATAAGTTACTAAAAAATAAATTTTATCAAATAATAATTATAAATATTGATTTTAATTATAATCATTTATTTGGACTTTTTAAAGAACGGAAAATATAATAGCGAAGTTAATTACATTTACTTTCAAAGGATTGTTTAAAGAAGATTTTGAAATGTCTGGTACATCTAAGTATTATTCAATCCGTTAAGCTACTCATTTTTTGTGACAAAAAAATAAAATAAATAGTTTTTCAATTTTAAATTTAAACATTCGAAGTATCAATAAAAATTTTGATAATCTACAATTATTATTGCATGATCTAAATCATGATTTTAAAATAATTACTCTCACGGAAACGTGGTTGAAAAGCAATGAAAAAAACTATAATTATGAGCTAAGTAACTACGTGTCAGTCCACCAACCGCGTCAAAACCACGTTGTCGGTGGTGGTTAAAGTATCTTTGTTCACAAATCTATTAACTTTGAATTGCGTAACGACCTCAGCGTTAACGAAACAGATTGTGAGTCGTTATGCATTGAAATAAATAATAAAGCGACCAAAAATATAATTATTAGTTCTATTTATAGAAAACCATTTATAGAAAGCCAATTGGTAATTTAAAAAGTTTCATACCTATCTAAAAACATTTTTAAGCAAAATTAACATTACAAAGAAACACGTGTACTTAACTGGTGATTATAGTTTAAACTTGTTAAATCATGCTTCAAATCTAAATGTTCAATGCTTTTTAGATACACTTATACAATACGATATCATTCCCACTATAAATAAGTCGACGAGAATAACTAAGACTTCGTCGACCTTACTAGATAACATATTTACTAATAGTTTTTATAATTGCCCTATAGAATCGGGTATAATTAAAACTGACATAACAGATCATTACCCAATATTCTTAACTATAGATAATATAACCCTTAATCATTCTGTCTCTAAATCAACAATATCAATGCGACAAATCAATAAAAACTCCATAATATATTTTCGAAATCTTTTATCTGAAAAAACTAATTGGGATCTTATATTACAATCGCAAGATGTGAATAATGCGTATGAATTATTTTTGGCGCAGTTTTGTAAATACTATGATTTGGCATTTCCAGTTATAAAAAAAATTATAAATCCTAAATCACTTTTAAACCCTTGGATGACCAAAGGTTTACTCAAATCATCAAAGAGGAAACAAAACCTTTATGAAAAATATTTAAAACATAAAACATATAAAAATGAAACAAAATATAAAAATTATAAAAACTTGTTGGAAAAAACAAAGAAACAATCTAAAAAAAATTATTATGCAAAATTGCTAGAAAAAACACATGGAAACACACAAAAGACGTGGAATGTAATTAAGCAGATAATCGGTACAACTAATGTCAAAATAATAAATTGCCAGAAAAACTTTTAGTCGACGGGGATATAATTTATAATAAAGAAGTCATAATTAACAAGCTCAACAAATTTTTTCTTGATATTGGACTAAAATTAGCTGATAAAATTCCAAAAACCAACTCAAATAACTTCGAATCTTATATAAATACACCCAACACATCTATGATAGAATCTAATTTAAACTTAAGTGAGATGCGCAATGCTTTCAACAGTCTAAAAAATAATAAATGTGCGGGCATTGATAAAATTAGCGTAAATGTAGTTAAAGCTGTGTTTGATATTATTGAACCATCACTGTTTCACATTTTTAATCTTTCTTTAAAATCCGGTATTGTACCGGAGAAATTAAAAATTGCTAAGATTTTACCTATTTTTAAAAATGGCGATGATACAAATATGTCCAAATATAGACCTATTTCTGTCTTACCATGTTTCTTTAAATTGTTAGAACGAATTATGTATGATAGACTTAACAACTATTAAACTATGAACAATATTCTGTATAATGAACAATTTGGGTTTAAAAAAAATCATTCAACGGACCATGCAGTAGTCGATCTAATAAATTATGTATCCAATGGGTTCAATAATGATTGCTATACATTAGGAGTTTTTATTGATTTGTCAAAAGCATTTGACACTGTTAATCATGATATTCTAATAAAAAAACTAGAAATGTATGGAGTATTAAACAATAACTTAAAATGGTTTAAAAGTTACCTTTCAAACAGGAAAAAATACATAATATATACAGAAAATGAAGAAAAAAAACATATCATAACTTGTGGTGTTCCCCAGGGATCAATCTTAGGGCCCTTATTATTTATACTGTTCATTAATGATTTGTATTTAGCATCCAAAATTCTAAACGTTATTTTGTTTGCTGATGACTCAAATCTTTTTTACTCTAACAGAAATATTAAAGATCTGTTTAGAATTTTTAATGAAGAGTTGTTAAAAATAAATGAATGGATTACGAATAATAAACTTTCATTAAATGTTGGGAAAACTAAATTTATGTTGTTCCACAAACCTAGTAAAGGTGATAACCTTTTTTTAAAACTACCTGATCTCTTTATGAACAAAAAAGTTATTAAAAGAAAGTCAACTATTAACTTTCTAGGAGTGATATTAGATGAAAATATATCATGGAAATATCATATTAGATCTATTGAAAATAAAATCTCCAAAAATATTTCAATGCTATATAAAGTTAAACCTTTTCTTAATACGGAATCTTTAAAAATTATATATTTCTCATTTATTCATAGGTATCTTTCCTATTGTAATCTTGCATGGGCAAGTACCAATTATGGGAAGCTCAAAAAAATTTATAGCAAACAAAAACATGCTTGTAGCATTATTTTTGGCGTTAACAGAACTGTTAATGGTGAATCTCTTTTAAAGAAACTTAATGTGCTTAATATTTACAAACTTAATATATACCAAGTTATGCTATTTACGTTTAAAACAAAACATGCGTTATCTCCTAATATATTTTAGTCTTACTTTACCGAAATATCTCATAAATATCCCACTAAATTTTCATCTGATAATTTTGTTATTCCAAGATCTTATTTAAAACTTAATTCATTTCAAATTCAATACCGGGGACCATTTATATGGAAAGGTTTTTTAAAAAATATAATTAAAAATAAAATTCTTCGAGGCATCTCCTTAGAACAATTCAAAAGAGAATCTAAACGTTTTCTATTAGAAAAAACTTTTGATTTTAAAGATTTCTTCTAAAATCACCTAAAATAATTAAACCTGAAAAAGTTATCACTACTCATTTACAATTGTCTTGTGTATCTTGTTTACTTCTTATTAAAATAAAAAATATATATACTATTAATTTTGAACAGACAAATAACATTTATTCGATTTATTACTTGTGTCTTATATTTGTCGAACTAATATTGGATTGTACTTCAATTTTAAACCTTTTAGTTTTTAACTTGTAACTTTGTGACGTTAATGTAAACTTGGCGATAGGACAGTTTATGTCTTCTTCTTGCTCCGGCCAATTTTTATACATGAATGGTTTTTTCTCATTGTAAATTTAATTATACAGTCATTCTGGGTAACTTTGAATTTGCGGGTAACATTGAACTAAACGTGTAAATGTTTTTAAATTTTTTTTTCTTTGGTATTTTCTTTGCCTGTTGCTTTAACAAAGAATAATATGATGAATTATCTTTTTTTACAAAAGTTTGACCAAAGAAAATTAAATTTTATTTCTCAAAAATAATGTTTTCCTCCATTTCCAGTTACACAGTCTAATGTGGTGATAACATCGTGTGTTTTCAATTTAGAATATTTGGTATTATATTGTAATTATCTGAATAGATTTTTAAGTATTTTATTGAATTATTTTTCGAACTTTAATACAAACATTAAATAATAGGATTTAACATGTTTTTTGCTACAAAAAGGATATTTATTTCCACTTAGCTAAAATATAACCAAATTCAGGGTAACTTTAGACAATCAATATTTTCCAAAAATGCTTTTTTTGTTGTCTGAGTAACATTGCAATAATACATAATAAATAATAGGCATCTTTTTATTATAGTATTTTTATTATATAATGACATATGATATTATAAATATTAAAAATTATAACATATATTACTAATATATTAATTTTTGATATTTATGGCTATCTTGATAGATTTAATAATATATTTTATTAATAGCAAATATGCGATTAATTAAATAATTTTCATTAATAACTTAAATCATCTTTATATTTTTAGCATTCATAAAATGCCAAGAAAATGTTCGACAAGTCATCCTGGCACTAGAAAATATGGCACTAAATCTAATTACACCAATTCTACACTTCAAGAGGCTTTAGCCAAAATTAAATTAGAAAAAATGTCGATTGGTGAAGCTTCTAAAATTTATAAAGTACCTAAAGCAACATTATTTTATAAGCTAAAAAATAAACACTGTAAATCAGTAGGGCGCCCTATTGCCCTTAGCATTGATGAAGAACTTTGTTTTGAAAATCACTTACTTTATTTAAGTGACAAAGGTATACCAATTGGAATTAATGATTTTAAAAGTATTGTCAAAATCTATTTGGATGATAGTGGAAAAAATATACAACAGTTTAAAGATAACCGACCAGGTTGGGAGTGGTGTAAACTTTATCTTGACAGGCATCCATCATTAAAAGAAAAAAGTATCTCATTGTATTTCAAGGAAACGTGCACAGATTAATTATTGTCAAATAAAATTATTTTTTCAAAATCTAGAGAAGGAATTAAATAAAGTAACGCCAGATAACATTTACAATATGGATGAAACAGGGTTTCATGACGACCCCGGAAAAAATAAACTTATTTTTCGTCGATCCTCTCGCCATCCAGAACTTATAAGAAACACAACAAAAACTTGTTACACTGTTGTTTTTTGTGGAAATGCCTCAGGAAAACTAATTCCACCATTTTTCATTTTTAAAGGAAAACACAGTTGGTCTGACTGGCTTTTCAATGCACCAGAAGGATCAAGAATGGCAACTTCTTGCAGTGGCTGGATGGAAATTCAAATATTTGAAGAGTGGCTGTTAAATCACTTTGTTCCAAATATTATAAATAAGGAAGGTAAAAAAATTCTGATTTGCGATAATTTAAGTGCTCATATATCTTTAAAAGCCTTAAATATATGTGAAAAGTATAATATAACATTTATATGTTTGGTACCCAATTCCACACACCTTTTACAACCTTTAGATGTTGGATATTTCTCGAGCTTAAAAGCTAATTGGAGGTCAGTTCTTAATCAATGGCGTAAAACATCCAGAGGAAAAAAGGTTAATAATCTGCCAAAAAATTTATTTACGCAGCTCATTAAATCTACTCTTAATGTTGGTAAAGAAAATCTAGAACATAATCTCCAAGCAGGATTTAAGGCTACTGGCATATATCCATTTTTACCAGAACATGTTCTCTCCAAATTACCCAGTTTTACAAATATAGATATTCAACTCAATATTGGAGAATCGTTTAGGAATTATGTTGATGATATTCATCTTAATTATGAAGTAAGCAAAAAAATTAAGTTACCAATAACAGCAGGGAAAAGTGTATCAGCCACTGAGGTAGAAGCATACTATAAGGAAAGAGACAATAAAAAAAAAGTCAAGATAATATTCGAGCAAAGAAAAGAGGAAGACCACTTGGATCAAATAATATGGTTATGAAAATAAACAAAAAACTTAATATTTTACAAAGTTCAAGCATTGTAAATGTTAATCAAGTTATTGAAGACGATGAACAAGTTTTAGCTGTATCTCAAAATGATGCAGTTTTTTCATTGGAGCAAACAAAACAATCACTATGTACATGTTTTCCTTGATCATGATTGTTTTGTAAAAGAGTTAGTTGAAACTCAAGACTAAAAGAAGGAAACACTGTAATATTTAGTTTTATAGTCAATGGTGTTTATTTGTGGAGAATTATATAAAAATAATATCTTATTTAATTTTTTCTTTTATAACCTTAAAAATTATTTTGTGAATATTTTATTGAAAAACTTGTTTGTTTATTCTCGAAATATTTTATTGAAAAACTTGTTTGTTTATTCTAGAAATATTTTATTGAAAAACTTGTTTGTTTATTCTCGAAATAGTTTAACTAGATTTTTTAAAAAATTAATTTAAACTTTTACAAAGAAATTTAAACAACTTTTTAGATTTAAAAGATTACAATTGACATTCAGTTTAATAGTGTTCAAAGTTACCCGAAATGCGAGGGTAACTTTGAACGCCTACTTGAACATTGTTTTTTTACATAATATCTAGCAAATTTAAAAAAATGATAGCAAACAAGAAAAAAGAGATCATCAGAACACTCTTTATGTAAAAATATTTGTTATCTAGTTAGTAAAACAATTTTTGTTGAGATAAACCTAGCGCAAACCGTTCAAAGTTACCCGTAATGACTGTACGGCAAAGAAAATATTAAAAAAAAAAAAAAAAAAAAAGTATATGATGAACAAAACTGCAACCACCTACAATGCCTATACAAGCCCACTGAAATTCCTCTTTGAATGTTTGCTATATTATATATTTTTTTAATAAATGTTAAAACTAAAAACTATAAATTATGAAAAAGTTCATTCATATAGAAAAAATATCAACTCTTTTACATCTTTAAATACATTTTTCTCAATATAATTTGAAGTTAGATAAGTTACTAAAAAATAAATTTTATCAAATAATAATTATAAATATTGATTTTAATTATAATCATTTATTTGGACTTTTTAAAGAACGGAAAATATAATAGCGAAGTTAATTACATCTATTTTCAAAGGATTGTTTAAAGTAGATTTTGAAATGTCTGGTACAACTAATGCCTTTATTCTTTTGTGTGATTTTTTTTGGAAAAGATTCAAGTGATTTTAATTTAAAAAACTAAACCAGTCGTAACAATTGACTTATATAAGAGGTGTGTAAAAAATTTCCTTATTAAAGACAATTATTCCTTCATAAGAATCATAAACAGAACATATTTCACAAAAGTTGTAACCATTATAAGATTTTATATAGTTTTTTTTTATATACACCTATAGGTATAACTTAGTTATACATCTAGGTGTTTTCAAAAATTTTTCTTGCATCTTTGCTAAGTTTTAAACCTTGATTTAGTAATATATAAAGATTGTAAAGCCTATTGTACATAATGCGTTCTAGCAATTTAGAAAAATAAGGTAATACAGAAATAGGTCTGTAGTTTAAAACATTTGTTTTTTCACCTGACTTAAAAATCAGTGTGATTTTGGCTTATTTAAGTTTGTCTGGTACAATACCAGACGTTAATGAGGGATTAAAAATGTGAAACAATAAGGGTTCAATAATATCAAACACTGAGTTAACTATATTGACGTTAATTTTATCTTTGCCTGCATTTTTGTTATTTTTTAGAGAGGAAAAAGCATTATGCAACTCACTTATATTTATATAAGTGAGTTGCATAAAAGTGAGTTGCAACATCCATATGACGTCGAAAAGACGTCTTTTTAGAAAATTCAGAATTAGTACTAGTTGATAATGCCAGATGAAGTCCTTTTAGGACGTAATTAAGTCGTTTTTTAAAAAATTGTAAAGATAAGTATGTAAAAATGAAGGAGAAAAGAATAAAGAGAACATTTACAATACACTTTATGACGTAATATTTATATACATATATATATATATATATATATATATATATATATATATATATATATATATATATATATATATATATATATATATATATATATATATATATATATATATATATATATACTAGCTGGATTGACCCGTAAAAATACGGGTCTTTGTAATTCTATTCCACAAAAACCTTTTCCCTTATTTTCTTAACCTAGCTGTCCGTATCAGTAAATACAGGTCTTTTCTTCTACTTCTATATTTATTTATTCCGCGCCAATCATTTCCTTACTTGTTCCTTATTTACTTCAATATTTTTTAGTAAACGGTGGAAAAAAATTCATCAAAAAATTTGCTTTGAGAGCAAAAAAAAACTTTAACATACGCACTTTTTCCGCATACGTATATAGCTTATTAAACTCCGTTTATTTATTTTTTTTAAAAAAATTTGAACTAAACTACTTCCTACATTTAGACCAGTTATGGACCATGGTTTACGGTCGCGTCCTAGCCATTTTCAATAGTTACTATTTACTATATTTATTATTATTATTATATGCTTAGTTTTGAATAATAACGGTCTTTTATAGTTACCTTTGTATTAGACGATAACGGTAATGCAATTCTTTAAAACGTTAGTTGCTTAAAGCGTCAAAAGTCATCCAAAAAAAATAAATTATAAATTTTGTGGTTTAAAAGTTGAAAAACTAATAATAATATAACAAAAAGTTTGGTAATTTTTAAACGTTATTATTTAACTCTTACTTATGGTATTTATTTTGTTTTCATTTTACATTTTTAAAAAAATGTTGAAGCGCCTAACTACATGCATAATTTTGATAGCTCACAAGTTAAGTGCGCTGTCATCAGATTCGCTGTGCAAGGCTTCAAATCCGCGCCTAAAAAATCTCAATACATTTTTTTAAATTTTTTTAATCTGGCTATATTTATAGCAAAAAATTAAATATAACAAAAAACCTTTTAATTGCTTTTTTTTTCCCTGCCTCCACGGCAATAACATGTGGAGTAGCAGGACGGTTTATCAAATTTTTTCTTTATTTGGTTTTAGGACCTTTTTTTTTAAGACTATCCGTAGCTTATTAAGACCAATTATGTGAGAACAGTATCATAATCGTGACACACACGCAACAAATTTTCGCCCCGTTTATTGGTGTTTTTAGAAATCCAAAAATTTTATAAAATTTTAAAAGAAAAAATGGTTAAAGTGTATAACATATAACTTGTTTAACTTCACAAATATTTTGTAATTTAAAGAAAAAAATCGCTGGTGGTAAATTTGAACCACGACTATTACGTTCAGAAGCTTAGCGCGCTAACCACTCGGCCATGCTGACACATCAAATATCGAAATTTTAAAAATATATAAAAATTGTTTTTAACGGAATTGGTTTTTAATGGAGAGGTTGACGCAATGCAATTTTTAAGTCAAAGTCAAACTATAAAACTTGAAAAATGTTTCAGTATGTTTTATCATTACTTAATTACGTACGTTAGATATTTGCATACACGTTTTCTTCTAAAAAAAGTGCTGCGACTCTTTCTACTAACACTACTATTAAGTTCGGCATTATTATATAGAAGATAGATAGATTATAAAATAGTTTTTCACTTAAAAGGACAAACTCTATTCCACATTAACCTTATCTCTATTTCTCCCTCTAATATTTTTTAGTGAACAATAGATTATGTGCTAGAAAAAAAAAATTCACATATGCACCTTTTTCGTATATTTATATTTAGAGCTTAACATGAAGAAGGTAAATCATTTAGTTCGAGACAACCTGCCCAAACCCAAATCCTCTGTTGATTTATGCACACTCACTGTGGCTAGGCCTGTAAAATAAGTAGCTAGGCAAGTCAAATAAACTAACTTGATCTGTATTTCTGCATAAAACAAAAACAGAAAATGTGAAGTACTTGATAAAAGAAACTGTACTTTTGGATTTAGTTAATTCAATACAAAGTGATAGGAAACTGCAAAATAAAGTAACAATGTAAAAATTATTCAAATACTAATTTACAACAATTTGTATTGCGTTTTATTAAAATAGCTTTATTAAATGGTATGAAGATTAATGATTCTTCTTCTTCGCCTTTAGAAAATGATTAACGATTTGAAAGACTTTTAAATTGATTATAAAAGCATTATCTAAAAATGAAATAAAATCATTATTGATAACACTGAATGCACATTTATTTGTTTTATGTTAATTCATTTGAAAAATGAAAAATACGAAACGAAATTTAGTAATATTAAATAAATATTAAACACTTACTTTGTGAGGATGTTTTTGTAAAAGTCTCTAATATTTGGTTGAAGGCTGGAAATACTCTTTTTTTTAAAAAATTCAGTTTTATCAGCATTGCTAAAGATAAAAATTCTTACTGACACAAAAAAATTAGGCATTTTTTCTTGAAATATTTCTTGGCTTTTAGTGAATGATTAGGAGTAAGTTTCAGTAATGAAGCTACCCAATAATGATTTTTAACGATAGACACCAACGTGAAGGTAAGCCAAGCTGTCTATCAACGCAAAACATCACAACAACATTACAGGATGACAAACAACAACACCAGTAGTGTAGGCGGGATTTTTGTTGTTTCAGATATATATTTAGAAGCTGTTGAAGAGTTTAACTTTGTTATGTCTAAAAAAATTCAGGTTAGGAAAAACACTTTTTTTAAACATTTGTTCCTAAGCTTTAACAACATCAATTTTTTGCAAAGTATTTTAATTCTATAAACGTGAATACACTTAAGTTTGGTTGAAAGTGCTATCTGAAGCATCAAAAGACCCTGCCTATGCTACTAAATACACATAGCATCAAATAATTGTACATAACACATTTGCACATAACACAAAACATTCAGATTATGTGTTTCCAGAATAACTAAAAAAGCTAGACAACACAACCTAGCTCAACACTTGTAACACCGCTTGGCACTAAACACTGCCAAGTAACACCACAATTTAGTAACACCGCTTGGCATTAAGTGCCAAGTTACACCACTAATTAGTAACACCGCTTGACTAGCAAGAATCACAATCTTGCACTACACGTTGCCAAGTAACACCACTTTTCACATGGAAACAACTTAATATAAACTTGTATAAACTTAAGCACATAAGTATAAATAAAGATATATAAACGCATATAAACACAACCATTTATATACACATATAGCAAAAAAAAAAAAAAAACATACAAAAAATATAAAACACATATAACACATAACATACTTGTCAAAATTATAAATTAAGAACATTTGTAAAGACAACATTATTTGTGTAATGTTTGTTAAATGACATACCTTGTAATGGATGTTTATCAACTTTGAAAACAAACTATTAAATGCTTTTGTTCTTGAACATGCAACATATAATTGGCCGTGTGAAAAGCAAGGCTTTTTAAGATAAACAACTACTTTTTCAAATGTTTGACCTTGACTTTTATTTATGGTCATTGAGTATGCTAACCTAACTGGAAACTGACGGCGTTTAAGTGTAAAAGGTAAATTTGCATCTAATGGAGCTAATTGAACTCAAGGAACAAATACCCTGTTACCATCTGATACACCTGTTAAAACCTCACCATCAATAAAAGTTGTGTCATGTACGCACCATCAAACGGGTTCCATTACAAAGTCCACCTTTGAGATCTAAATTTCTAAGTAGCATTGTAACAGCACCAATTTTTAATTTTAGGCAATGAACAGGCATACCTGATGGAGTCAAACTATTTAAAAACTCGGCTGGAAAGTTATTAATTTCATTAAGATCATCAGTATCAATGCTATCTGAACTTAAATATGTTTTCACATCACTGGGTAAACGATGAAGGACTTCTTTATTTATTGCCAATGAATCAAAATTTGTTGGCGTTAAAATAGCACGTTTTGCATAATCAGCTTCTTCTGCACACCAAAAATCTTCTCCACAATAGATTCATTATCACTGAGAAAGCACTGCTCAGGTATTTCAATACACCCTCGCAAAGGATCTTCAGGCTTGACAGGTAATGTTCCACTTCCAAGCTGTAAAAGCCATTTAAAAAATTCCTCTTCTTCTCTCTGAACCCTCATATTTACAGTTAATGAGAACCTTTGCACATATTTCCAATGTTCAGAACATTTTAAACATGATTCTATAACTTCTGCTGGTCGACCTCGCTTCACAACTGGAAGTATTTGTCTGAAGTCTCCACCCATAAGAATAACCTTACCACCAAAAGGAAAGTTGTTATTGCAAATATCTTGTAATAGCTTATCAATGGCACTCAAAGCATATTTGGGTATCATAGATGCTTCATCAAGTAAATACAAACTGATTTGTCTCAGGAATCTACCATGAATAGAGTTTGGAGTTACATTACATGTGCTAGTTTCCAAAACTGGAACAGGAAGTTTTATTAAGCCATGCATTGTTTACCCATTTTTGAGAAGAGTTGCAGCTATTCCTGTCCATGCAGTTGTTGCAGTTCTATTATGCCTGCTCTGTGTTTCAGAAATTAAATAATTGTAAGTAAATGTTTTACCACAACCGGCAGGCCCATCCATGAAAAACAACCTTGAATGCTTATTTTCATTAGTAGGTTCCACACTTAGTGCAGCAAGGATCGCATCAGCTACATTACGTTGATTATCATTCAATAATGGTCTAACTCGGTTTGCTTCATTAATAAACACCTGAACATCTTCATCATCATTTTCTGGGACATTATCTAAAAACTGATCTAAAGCTGGCAAATTATAATCAGTTAAGGTTTTACTACTCTGATTAATTATAGATTCAATTTGACAAAGAGCTGCCTGCTCAGCAAGTACGACTGGCATTGAATAGTGTATGTAATCCTCAACCATATAATTTTTAAATGTATTCCAAAGGTGTAAAGGATCATCAGGTTCACATAAAGTTAATATGATGGGAAACAGTAGCCTAATTTGTTTAGGCTTCCGAGTTGCAGCAGCTTCAGTTAATGTATTTCTCCACTCAATGTCATCTTGCAATAAACCTAAATGATAACATGCTTCACGAAATGTATTAAAAACAGTACCATGAACAGTACGCAAATCCTCAAAAGACTTAGCACCTTTTACAGTAAAAGTAAGTAAAAGTAACTAATCTGAGAAAAAATATTTCGCAAAATAAACTGACTTTATACATTCGAATAACCACCTTATCACTACCTCTTTGTCTTACTTTCCACATGCAATTTTTACCAAAAACAAAGTGATATGGAATTTCAACATAAGAATACTGACGTGCTTCATTACTTTCAGCATTTAACTTAAACCAAGCAGTTAGGTGAGTGTCACGCTGTGCTGCACGATCTATAGCTACTTGTTCTTCTCCTTCGTTAAATTATACTCTCTGATTATCAGGAAGGTGGATTTGAAGGCGGATAATAGTATGTGACATATCACTTATGGAATACTCATATATTCGCCAAAGAGCCTCTGGGGCGGAAACAAAGCGACAGTCTAAATATGCGTTAATTTCATCATGGTCAACACTTTCATTAATTACCACATTCGCACAATCATGCCCTTTATAGACATATTTGTATAAATACTTCACTGACTTAATAGACATGCAAGCTTCAACATTAATGTGGGATTGGTATTTTTTGATTACCAGGGGTTATAGGGTACGACCCATCGATTATCAACTTGGTTACCTTTTATAATGACTACTCTACCATTATCTAAACGCCTGTAGTTAGGATAACCATTGAAAATTGCAATAGTGCAAGGATTAAACTCTTTAAGAAACTTTTTTGTGCAAACTCCATCTTTCATGCAAGGAGAATTGGGATTTAAAATCCCACATGGTCCATGAATCGTACATGTTTTTACAATTTCAAAAAGTTTAGGATCAACAGTTTGATCTGGAATTTCAGCTGATATTAAACTATTAATATCTTCTGCTGTTTCTAGCTTATCATCGTTTATAAAGTGTAATAAAATATGCACATGTGGCAAATCACGTTTTTGAAACTCAATAACCTGTACATGACTTACAACTTTGCCTAAGACTCCATGTTTAAAAATATCACCTAAGAAGCATTTAAGTTTCATCTTAAATAGGCGACAAACTAAATCAGGCCTGTCAGTTGCGCTCTCACCTGGATTTAAATTTTCTGTAATTTCTCTCCATTTTGAATTACAGGTAAAAGTAATAAAAAGATCTGGTTTACCATATTTCTTTATAATTGCCATTGCATCTTCAAAATTTTCTTTTAAAGCTCTTGGACTTGCAACATATGAGGATGGTAGTATAACACTACGACCTGGTCTTACATTAAGGTTATTTGCAACATTGTTTACACACTCATGTAATGTATCGTATTGTTCACTTCTAAGTTTGTTTTGGTTATTTCTGATAAAAGCAAGGCGCTGTCCTTCAATCTTGACATATGCATCAACAGCATACTGTTGAAAAAGTTTCTTACCATAAAATATAGGACTGAACGTTTGTCAAATAGAGAGCCTATAATAGTAGTACTGAGACAAAGTAACACGATTTCAAACACGTGTTGCTCGGTCAGGATTGTGCTCTAGTTGATCATGCCATCCTGCATCACCTCTTGGAAAAAATATTGGATATAACATTGGATCTAGATTTGCAGACATACTTGAAATTGTTTTTAAGGGTTCACCTCGAGGATAAATAACAACTTCTCTAGATGGAGGTGGAGCACCATCATTTCCTACAAACACAATGGCAACCTCTTCATGTGATGGAAGATTGTATCGACGTCTGTTACAACCCTCAAGCAACGACATTTTGACAACAGAAATCGGTCGACCTTCTATAGCAGCTTGACGTATTTCTGCATCTTCAACTTCTGCCATGTTTTTAAATGCAAGCGCATATGGGTTCTCCTGATTAATTATAGTCTGCAAAAGTTCCATTAACTCACGTATGCAACAATCATTTTGCTCCATTCGAAAGTTTAAAGCAGTATTAGGATCATAAACATATAATTGACAAAATGCAGGTGGATCCCCTTGCTGATGTCTTAGATTACCAATACGATGCATAATTTGCCCACTAATTCTAAAACAGGGTGGACCACGATTTGACGGAGGATCTATTGTGGCTATGAATGAAGCAAAAGATAGACAGGCATTATAATTTTGTATGTGCTTGAAAAAATTTTAATTCAAAGCACGATCAACATGGTTGCCTGTCATTAAATCAACCATCAGCGGTGGAAAAAGTGAAAGTGGAGGTAAGACAACCTTTCCTGAATGGCAGCACAAAAAATGTGTTTCATTAAAAATATTTTTAGCACCACAATACTGACAATTATGGTTCATTTCTCCTAGGTAATTACTCTCTATAAAAACATTATTTCTTGCTATGCAATGCATTCCACGCCTAAATAATACTCGTCTAGCCTCATTTCTGTAGGCGAGAAGAAATTAATCTCACGATTAATTTCTTCTCGCCTAGCCTCATTTCTTTCATTTTGGCGACGATTAATTGCTTCTTGTCTGGCCTCATTTCTCTCATTTTGACAACAATTAATTTCTTCTCGTCTGGCCTCATTTCTCTCATTTCGACGATTTCTTCTATTTTCAGCTCTTAAGTTACTTGACATAATTGAGAAATTATTTATGTTTGATAAAACTTTATCTTATTAATTTTTTGCTACACTAATCTAAAATGAACAAAAACAATAAAGTGCTATTTATCAGTTTAAACCTATGAAACTATGTGTATAGCGTCTAATAAAATTTGTGAACAAAAGATATAACTAAACTGGTTTGAAACAGAGAAAAAGTATCTTGTAATAACATACTATATTGTAAGTAATAAAACAGTATTTTTTGAAACAAATAAAAAATTTTATTATTTTAAAAGTCATATTAATGGTAATATTAAAAAGCAAAATTAGTTACATATTTTTAAATGACATGCCAACAATTGCAAACATGTTGCATCATATAGACCACATGTGGCTGACAATTAATTTTAAATACTATTTTATAATATATCTAAAGAGAATAATGTAAAGAGATTAATAGGTGTATAGTGCATATATTAGACATATTAAACAGATATCATAGAAAAAGAAAAACTTTAAATATATTTACTAAATCTTTCAAAAACTATATAACACTTAACAAATAAAAGTTAATACAAAAGAAAATTTAGTATTATTAAAATTAAAAGTGAGGATAAAAAGATGTAAAAACGTAAATTAATAAAAAAACTTATAGACAAATTATTAAAAACTTTTATAACATAAAAGTTCTTTGTAAGTTTAGGATTTAAAAACAATTAAAAATCAAAAAAATGAAATAGTAAAAGTATAAAAATTAAAATAATAAAAAATTGCGAAATTAAAAAAAAACATTTTTTTAAAAAGTCAACTTTCTTTATAAATAAAAAAGAAGATAACTCTACCAGTAGTTTAAAAAAGCTACTGGTAGAAATTAAAAGAGTTAAACCGCTTTCCAGCTCCCCTCCTTCTACCAGTGGTGTCATATGGGGCTTGTCTTCTCCATCTAAAGAAGGGATCATCTCCCCCATATTGACTCCACCGATAGAAAGCTCTTTGAGATATCGGACCTGGGTGCTGGGAGCGATATCGCAGGAAATCTTGATACGATGCTAAAAAACAAAATCAAAAAAAAAAAAAAATTTGAATACAATACTGCACAAAACAACCAATAAAAATATTATTTAAAACTATTTAGACTTCAAAAAAAAAAAGTTATGACAAAAAAAAGAAGTAAATAAAGTAATGTAAAAATAAGGATATGCAATGTTTAAATTTCATATATACCTACACAAATACACATAACACCCACAAAACTGCATAAGTATGCAAAACAGATTACCTGATGGTCCTGCAGATATTGTTGCTATTATGGAAATAAATAAAAAAGTATATGAACTAACACATATATTAAACAGTTATGTAATTGCATACAAATATGAAAAAAGTAATGTTTAGGTTTCAATACACATAACACTGCATAAGTACGGAAAAACTGCATAAGTATGGAAAACACATTACCTGGTGGTACTGCAGTTGATACTGTTGTTATTGCGGAAATAAATAAAAACGTATATAAACAAACACATATATTAAACAGTTATGTAATTACATACAAACACGAAAAAAGTAATGTTTAAGTTCCAATACACATAGCACTCATAAAACTGCATAAGCATGCAAAACACATTACCTTATGGTACTGCAGATGATATTGATGCTATTGTGAAAGTAAAAAAAAAAAAAGTGTATAAAGTAACATATGTTATACATTTATGAAATTGTTTACAAATATGAAAAAAGTAATGTTTAAGTTCAATACACATAAAACCCATAAAACTGCATAAGTATGCAAAACACATTACCTGATGGTACTGCAGATGATATTGATGCTATTGTGAAAGTAAAAATAAAAAGTGAATAAAGTAGCATATGTTATACATTTATGTAATTGTTTACAAACATGAAAAAAGTAATGTTTAAGTTCCAATACACATAACACTCATAAAACTGCATAAGTATGCAAAACACATTACCTGATGGTACTGCATATGATGACATTGGTGCTATTGTGAAGGTAAAAAAAAAAAGTGTATAAAGTAACATATGTTAAACATTTATGTAATTGCATGAAAACAGTAATGATTAAGTTTAAATACACATAAAACCTATAAAACTGCATAAGTATGCTAAACAGATTACCTGATATTATTGCTTGAGGTGCTAATGTAGAGACAAAAAAATAAATAAATAAAGTAATCTGTAAATTAAGACATGCTATCTTTAAGTTTTAACACATATAACACTCTTAAAACTGCATAAGAATGCAAAACACATTACCTGATGGTACTGCAGATGACGCTATAGTGGAGGTAAAAAATATATTTACATAAACTAACATACACTAGTCAATTAAACAGTTTATTTTACAGTGATAAAACCGCACACAAACTTAAAAAAAAAGTGTGTTAAAATTAAACAAAAAGAAACATAAGTGTACTTTGCTTACCAATTGAATTTTCTAAATTTTCTAAATAGAATAAAAAAAAATTCATTAACATTTGGAAAGAAACTAACATGCAGAATATTTGTCAACTTTAGGAAATCTATAAATAAAGTTGGAACAAAACAAAAGGCAAAAAATACAATCACAAAACAAAACAAACCAAAAAAGAAAAAAACGACAAAAAAAATAAAAAATAAAAATAAAGAAACAATCCACAAGAACAATATAGTAACTTACTAAGTTGTTGAAATATAAGCCCTATAAAAAAAAATGCTAAAAATTGTATCAAAAAAGCTAAAAGACCATAGAATACACCTTTTTTTTTGAAAGTAAAATGCTATATTTTTATCTATAATACACAAATGTAATATAATCAAATTCTGTTTACCCATTGAATGTTTTAATTTTTTTAAATAAAATGAAAAACTTTAACATTAAAATAAACTAACTTGCCAAATATAGAATAACTTTATGTTAAATAAATATGTAATAAAAAAAATAAAGAGCATTACAATAACAAATTGCTTATTAAGATTCTCAACAAAATCTTCTAATTTTTCTAAATAAAATAAATTTAAAAGTTACAAAAGTCACTTGCTGACTGACAAACTGTCACAACTGAAAAAAGTCAGTTGCTAAATAACTTTAAAAAAACTAAAAAAGCATAAATGTATTTGCACACAAAAAAAAAAAAAAAAAAAAACAACAACAAAAATCCTCACTTAGCTTGTCCATTACTTCCGCTAAACATTAAAAAAAAGTTATAATTAACAAATTGCTGAAATTGGTGAAATATATATCTGTGTAACATATCCATCTCATACAAAATTAGCTTACTTGGCAAGAGCTCTTCGGCTCTCATCTCTTGAACATCTAATATATATATAGACAAAATTAAATTTCAAAATATTTACTTTTTCAATTAAACATATAAGATTTGTCTTAAACTATAAAACTTTTGCACAGTTTTATAATTTAACACATTCAGTAAATGACAAAAGGTTTCATTTTACGTAAAAGTTTAGTAGTTAGAAGACTTATAAGTCAATTTTAGCTTAAACACGTTTTATAAAATTATAGCTTAAAGACCTTAAATAAAGCTTATACGCGTTTTTAAGGTTCAGTGCTTTACAAAAACATCAATCAAAATAGCGGAATAAACAAAAACTTGGTTTTGGGTCTACCCTTTTAAAGTTCTAAAAATTATTTTATATATTTTTTAATTTTAGTTAAATTTTAGGGGGGTGTACTTGATTCACGGGGTTAGGGGAGGGCGGCATATCTTGGTTGATTTTAATTAAAAACGGCTAAATTAAATCATCGTTTTATTCACACCGTAAATCAAGTACAGCTCCGCCACTTTTAGAACATATGTAACTGCTACTATATATAGTATATATATATGACTTACTTCGAAAAAATGCAGAAACTTCTTCGTTGCCTAAAGATATACAAAATTATCTTAATGTAATTTCTTAATAAAATAATAAGCTGAATATCTCAGTATTATTGACGTATTATCTCATTTTATCTCTTTAATTAATTAATGTTATACAAAATTAAAAGAATACCTTCTGTATCTTGGCTGCTCATTTCTAAAAAATAATCTTAATGTTTATTCTTGGGTCAAAAACATATTAACTTCAAACATATTAACATGGTAATTGTAAAATAAGTTTAATTTTTTAAATGAAGATTACAATAATTAAACTTGTAGATACAACTTACTTGTCGTCCCTCGCTTTGCAATTGTTATAATCGATATGAAGACCACATGGCCGAGTTTTATTGGTTTTAGAGTACAGTTGGCGCACATATCATAATGCAAAAATCAGATGGTTTTGAATCTAATAATTAAGCTGTTTTTATTAACGGATTTGGTGGATTTAATTAGATACCCGCAAGGTAGTTTTACAGTGGTTTAAGAGTTGGCGTACGTTTCGTAATACAAAAATCATTTAATATTTGTTTATATCTTAATATTCGAGCATTTCTATTATCGGATTAGGCGAAATTTTGTGGGTTTTTTGTTTGTCACCTTCTGGAGTAACTAAATCTTTTTTTTTAAGTTTCAGATTACATTTTTTTTTTCATACCTTTCCGTCATTTTTAGGACTCTTGACCAGTTAGTTTTAATAAAAATTTCAGATTGCATGTAAAACCTTTTTTTTTATATATATAAGAAAGAAATTTATCTCTTTAATGTGTGTTGAACTCGCAGTTTTAACTAATTACCTAAAACATAAGTATCTCTATCATGATATATGCGCAACAAATTTCCAACAGCGTTTTTATGTTTTTAGACATTTTAAAAAACGTTTTAAAAAATTCTCTCCGTTTGGTTTCTTATAGTATATTATATCGTTATTTTTATGTAATGTGTATAACATCTATATGCATTTAAACTTGTTTTTCTTTGTTTTCTAGAAAACTGGATAGGATTTAAAAAAAAAATTGTGTAAGCAAAAGGTTTTGAACCGAAGCGAAGCACTTCAATTGCTGTGGAATGCTATATCATCTTTTTACACTATTTAATAAACAGAAAACATATTAAACTTTAAAAAACAACATTTAATGCTTTAAATTAAAGAGATATTGTCGCAATGAAATTATTAAGTAAAAATAAATCGGTAGTATTTGATGTCATCTACTTTATAATAATACTGATTGATAATTAAAGAACTTAAAGTTTACATATTTAGATATTTGAATAGACTTACGTTCACATTGATAAAAAACAAATCTTAACGGATTAGGGTTCCGAAAAAAAAGGTTAATGCACTACCATCTATAATTATTGGAAAGGTCATAGTTTTTAATATCAAAGATATCAAAGTTTGTCGAAAAAGTGAAAACAATGTCTACCTAAATTATATGTTATCTTCCTATTTATTAGGTTTACCAATAAAACATCCCTGATTAGTTTATAATTTATTCAAAGCCTTGATTAGCTTTTAATTTATTTGCCTATTAATCACCCTTAACAACAATAACCGCCATAAATATATTCTTAGCATTCTACTTAACGACTTATCTAATTAGTCTATTTTGTCACTAAGTATAAAAAAAAAAAAAATACCCATGTATTAGCTGAATATCAATTTATTTATTTATTTAATTTAATATATATAATATATAATTTAATATATATAGTTTAATCTAATTAATATAATTGAAATACTACTAATCAATTTACTGATATTTTTCTATAGCATTGTTAAAAATGGTCATATTCTGAAAGGTAAAGAAATTTATTGAAAAGAAAGTTGCACAAAAGAAAAAAAAAACTAAATAAAAGTTATTCGTTTCAAAAAACGTTTTACAAAGAGTTTTTCCAAACAATTTTATTTTTAATTGGGTTATTTTTGAATTACGTCATAATAGGCCGGCGTCTGTTGCAGAAAAAGCTTTCAAAAAAAAGACGTTCGTTATACACATTTAGTAACTAAATTTTGTTGAAGTTATTTTGAAGAGCTAAACAAACTAATTACAAAAAAAAAAGTTCCCAGATTTTTATGGTCCCAATAACCGGATAATTAAGGTCAAAGTTTTGCAGCATATAGAAACCACCCTTTAGTTTTGACTAAGACGGTTTCTACTAAAAAAATAAAAATGACCTTCAGTTTTTTTTTAATAACGTCCAAATCAATAATAATTTCTACTTCAAATTTAGTCAGTGTATTCTTTAGTAATTTACTAAAAGTATTTGAAAATTTGGATGCTTTTTGATATAGGTAATTTAGGTTCCAGACCTTTTTATTTTTGATCTGTTCCTTAGGAGACTTACCATTTGCCGTTTTTATGCAATGTTTTAAAAGAGAACTGTATTTAAAACAGAAATATTATTATTAACCAAATTTCTAATATATATTATTGCTGCTGATGTTTATCTTGCAGTTCAAAATCAAAAAATATTAAATAACAAGTGATTTTTATTACAACTTATAAATCTAATCTAATCATTATCAGACTCAGACTCGTATGATTCATCTGATTGGTTATCATCATCCGCTTCTTGATGGTCACCACCATGATTTCTGCAACCATTACATTTGCAAAGGTCTGTGCAAACTTCACCAGCTTTATTACAAGAACATCTTTTAGTGGAACAATCACGGCAATAACAGTGAACAAAATCAAGCAACGAATCGGGTGCAGCAGGCATTTCCATCCAAGATATGGCAATTGAACCTTGATCATTAAACCAACCATTTCCAAAAGGACTTGGTGGGTTAATCACTGCTATATATGATCGTTTTCTGATAAAAGCTTCATAATTAGCTCTTTTAATGTGTTGAACAAGCGAATCTTTATTTGGTGGTAACGCTTCCTCGCTAAATTTACCAGATTTGAATAATATGTAACGAGCGGATTTAACTGATTCTTCTTGTTCAGCCCCGTATAAATCACAGACATATGTTTCCAGTATGTTTACTAGTTCATCAGATGGTGGTACTGAATCACCTAAAGTTTTAAAAGCATCTAAGTACTTCGCTTTCTTCCGTAGGACTTTGAAAGCGATTGCTTTTCCTTTTCCATAAAATGCACTTGTTGAATCGCAACCTTAAATACCAAAGAAAAAATATAAACAGTTTAAATTAATTTCAACTGTTTAAATTAATTTCAAAATCTGAATTCAC